TGTCGTATACTTGGAATAATCGCGTAAAACTAAAAGCGGGAGGCGATACACGTTCAAAAATGACCTATCCAACTCTAGCGGAGAAACGCGACGACTGTGGGGGAAGGGGCAAAAGCTTCAACAGATCTGAAACGCTACAACGAAACGCGCAAATAACAGTCTACTACAAGATATTTTCGCGAACATAGAAAAATACGAGTGTCTATTTACAAAACAAACGATAAATTTCTCTCTCTCTCTCTCTTTCTCTCTTACTTTCTTACACATACACTCTCTCGCTCATTCACTCACTCTCTCTCTCTTTCTCTTTCTCTCTCTCTCTCTCGCACGCGCGTATATGCTGTTCTCTCTTCATCCTCTATCAACAGGGGTGTCCAAAATCCAAAAGGTAAACCGAGCAGAAAAAAAGAACGCGTACGCGCCTCCGGTTCACGCGGCGGAGACGGTTACGCGGCAAATACAAAAAGGTCCGCTTGGCGAATGATACGCCTCCAATCCAGAGACGAAATCATCAATAGCTTCCAAACTCGTCCACTCGAGAATCGGTATATTTCTTCTTTTTTCTATTTTTCTTTTTTTTTTCTTTCTTTCTTTTTGAACGCCGTGATCGATCAACGTTCAACGTTCGTCGGCATCGGTGTATCGATTTTCCTCTTTCTCTTCTTGCACGCAGCTCGCGGAGCGTCTCCTCTCTATCCGGTTGATTCTTTTACTACCGACTGACTCTCATCAAAGAAATCTCGGTCGTTTAAAGTTACGAGCGACAAGCAAACGACAGACACCCTGGACGACGTGGTCGTCCTCACAATGGACACTCGAATTTCGGGGGTTCCGCTTTTTTTTCTTCTTTGTTCGCGCGCATGTTTCTTATTACGTTTCATTTTTTTTTCTTTTTTTTTTCTCTTTTTTTTTTTCTTTTTGTTGAACTCTGTCCATCTACGTGTATACGGTGAGTTTATCATAACTTGAACTGCTTTCTTCGTGCCTCCGCTGCTATGTGTATATACGTACGAATAATACAGCCTCTGTGTGTGTGTGTTGTGTATGTTGTGTAT